GACAGGCTCGCTGGTGGCGCGACCTATCCGAGTTTAGTTTCACCACTGAGCACATCAAGGGTGAGACTAATCGGGTCGCCGATGCCCTATCCCGGCGCCCTGACCACGACTAGGAGCACATCCAGCTCTCTTCCGTCTCTGTCAGCACCGTCCACCACTCGGTGATCGACGAGTTTCGCACTCAGTACCGCCACTGCCCCGACTATCGCGACATCCACGCGACCCTTCGGAGTGGCAAGACCGTCCCGAACTACTCTCTCGGGGACACCGGTCTTGTGCACTGGCACGGTTCACAGGGCACCAGAGAGCCCCGTATTTGTGTTCCCTCCACTGGACAGCTACGTGTCCGAGCAGTAGCAGAGTTCCATGACCAGGCAGCTGCCGGTCATATGGGCTTCCACAAGACGTTGGCTCGTGTGAGCCGCCTGTACGTCTGGCCGAAGCGCAAGGACTTTGTGAAGGACTACATCGCAGAGTGTCCCACCTGTCAGGAGGTGAACAGTGTGAACCACCTACCTTATGATAGCTCCAGCCTCTTCCTATCCCTGAGGGTCGTTGGCAGTCCATCTCGATGGACTTTATTGGTCCTCTTCGACCTCCGACCCCCCGCGGTCATGATGCTATCCTGGTCGTCGTCGATCGCTTCACGAAGCGTGCACACTTTGTTCCGTTCCGCTATGCCATCAGTGCACGTGAGGTCGCCGACATCGTATTTGACCGAGTCGTGTGTGACCACGGCTTACCTCTGAGCATCATATCTGACCGTGACCCGCGCTTTACCAGCCGATTCTAGCGACGGCTCCACGAGGTGTACGGCACTCAGCTCCGCTTCTCCTCGTCTTACCATCCTCAGACTGATGGTCAGACCGAGATCACGAACAGGACTCTCGGGGATATTCTCCGAAAGATTGTTCGTGACGACCAGCAGGTGGATCTCCATCTTGCCCACGCGGAGATAGCCTACAACCACGCCGTCTCGCCAGCCACGGGGATGTCGCCTTACTATTGCGACCTCGGCTATCACCCGCGTGTTCCCGCGGACTTCCTTCGACCGTCCCAGATGCACCCCGACACGAGTTGTCCCGCGCTGGATGATCGGGTTGCACACATGACGTCGATTATGAAGACCGCACATGAGCACATAGCCGCTTCCCAGACTCGCGTGGCAGCACGTGCGAACCGATCGAGGATGGATCACCCATTCAAGGTCGGTGATGATGTGCTTATCGACGCCCGCCACTTACAGCTCGAAGCGGACACGCTTCGCAAGTTTCGGCGTCGCTTCTTTGGCCCATGCCGCATCCTCCAGGCCGTTGGTTCTGATACGGCATCTAGCCCGGTCAGCTTTCGTGTGAAGCTGTCCGACTACCTACGCCAGGCTCGTGTGCATGATGTCTACCACGTCTCGATACTGCGTCCTTACCGCAGACCGTCTGAGCGTTTCGTTGGACGACCATACGAGCGCCCTCCACCCATCATGGTGGACGGCCACGAGGAGTTCCTCGTTTCAGACATCATTGGTCGCCGAGTCACCGACGACAATCCTCCCCACGTCGAGTATCTCATACGTTGGAAGGGTTACCCTGATGAGGAGGCTACCTGGGAGCCCCTCGTGCACTTGCAGCACGCTCGCATGTTGGTGCGTGCCTATGACCGTGCTCGTCGTGCTGGGTTCACTGCTCCTCCTCAGCCCACTGACCCTCCTCCTTCTCCTCCGGCTGAGGAGACCGCTGAAGTCGAGCCTGCTCCATCTGAGGCAGACCTTCAGCAGCAGTCGGATGCCTCTGAGCGTCCACAGCGCACTCGTCGTCGTCCTGCTCGATACGATGATTGACTCTGACTTACCTTCCCACATCTTTGACTTCTCAGTACTCCATCCACATCAGTTTTGCTACTTCAGCTCGTCGACGCTGCGGCTCTTCCTCGACGGCATTCCGGACTTCTCATCGTGGACGTCATCGGCGGCTTCATGGACTTCATCACGATCAGCTTTACCTACTTCAGACGTCGCCACTCTCTTACCACTCTACCCTGTACAGTACCCTACTTGTGTCGCATGATGGTCT